AAAGTCTAGAAACTAAGAAAATTTTTACTCAGGAGTATATTTTGAACATCCACTTTGCGGAAACTTCTAGTTGAATTTGCTGGCGCTAATTTGTAGTATAAGTAAAAAGTCACCTATAAGTTTGCATTGGCACCGTTTCTTTTTTTTTATGCAATTATCAAATTACTTGTAACCGTAATCTCAGTTTTTTAACCAAATCCGTGTAATTCCACTGACTTCTAAGAAGCTATTCCTGAGTTACCCTGCTCCGACAGTGCTGAGTGTGACTGCTGTGACTGAGATTGTGTAAACTGTAATTACTGTAGGTGAAATTGGTAGCTGGATTGGTAGCTCTGGGAAATTAAATCTTGGGTTTCTTCAGAGAGAAATTTTGATGTGCGTGTGACAAGGCAGTCATCATTCTATCATTGTTTTTCAGAGCTATCCCAGAGATTTACCTTTGCGGGAGCAAAAATTTTCCAGGCTGTCTTCATAACACATCTTTATTTCTGCTGAGATAATAAAGATGGATAACAATTAATGCAAGATTTGAAATGACTGTCAGCCTGCGTGAGACTTGATAGAGACCTTCACAAAGAGCCTCTTGATCGGTTGTCAGAGATAATTTTCATTTGCTGTCACCTTGGGCCGTGTGCGAACCCGCGATCGGGAGGGGAATGATTCTGTAGTGGCACGTGAAAACTGTTCAATAGTTTTGTCTTGGATAGCCTGTGCTGAGCGGAATATAAAAAAAGACAATTCCGAAGAGTTTGTGGATGATGTGATGTGCAGTGGGTTTTACGGTGAGGTTTTAGATGTGTTCTATGCCACATTTATGAATGAACGCTCAGCTGCCTCGCAGGGGTGCACAGTGACTCGTCTGCTGGCAGGACCGCAACATCTTCAAATGAAAATGAGCCGCTGCCGGTTCTGAGCGGGTCTGAGGGCTTACGGGGCTGACAACACGGCGGTGAAACTTTTTTTTTTTTTTTTTTTTCACTGACGGTACATTCCAGCCTTCTCTCTGCGTACAGTCCCTGCTGACTCCGGGCTGCCAGGGGTGCAGTTGCTCGCTGAGGCTTCAGCGGGTCCCTCCCGGGACTCGTGGGGAGGCTGCGCCCCGCGTCGTCTGCATCCTCCCGAGCTTCGCTTCGGTGCAACGCGACGTCTTCAATTCGAACGAACGTGGTAATTGCTCTTGTCATTACTTTTAGGACAATGAGTGTATTTGTTTGCTGGCAAGAATCCCTCGCAACTACTTCTTTATTTTCTCATGCTATTCTTTTTGTTGTCAGCACTGGTGGCTGACATGTTATAATTCAACTCCCACTCTGGGCAGGCTTCCTCCTGTATTCACTGAGAAAGTATGCTGGCTGCAACGAGTGGATGTTAATTTTCACAGTTCATGTGAACCATAGGACGGAGGATGAGATCAGTATGTTCTCACGATTCTCTTGTAATGCCAGCATTTAATGATCCATTGAACTTTTTCCTTTGTGCTAAATAACATGTTTATTTTTCTTCCTCCTTATGGTGGTGATGGTAGACAGAGAGCAACTTGTCTTGCCTTCTCCACCTGCTCTTTTGTGTGCCAGTGACCAGAACATACTGATAATGTCCCTTTGCTCTCGGAGGCCGCAGTCCTGCGCTAACCTCATTATATCAGATCTCTGGAATGGAAAGAGGAAGAAAAATGTGTCTGTACTTATTTACAAGTTTTCTTTTTTAAACCAAAAGGTCTCCAAATACTGCCCTTTCTGGAATGAGTAAGAATAGAAAATGAGCATCCAGTTTTCCATGGATCCCAAAGTTTTGATTTGTTGTTGTTCAGTGATAAATCACCACTTTTTTTTTTTTTCCCCTCAAGGTATAGTTAACAGAATATATCATCTGCAAAAATAGATTTGAATTGATGTAACTGTTAAGGGGATGGCTATTTCCTCATTAGTCAGTGACACCAATCTGGTTCTGCTCCCAAATGCAATCAAACAGATTTCATTCTCTCTCCTCCTGCCCTCCGCCTCCAAGAAATTTATGGGTAGGTACGGGTAAATTTTCCTAACAAGGCAATGCCAGAAATTTCTTCTATTTTTTTAAATCATTTTTTTCCCAATGATCACAGTTGATCCCAAACAACTTGTTTTTTAACAACCTGGTGTTCAGTTTGGGTTTGGCGGAGCTCTATAGATCCAAGTTGCTTTATCAGGACTAGTTTGTTGGTTTTTTTTTAATCTGCATTTTGTTGCAAATATGTTATAGATAATCAATTTGATAACAGCAACTAATGCACATTAATATTATGGCTTAATTTATATATACTTTATTTTTACTATAAATCATTCTCTTTTTCTTTTAATTTTTAAAATTGAAGCAAGGGCTCGTGCAATGCTTTTGCCAACCTTTGATGTTGTAAAGTAATTGTTGATTCAAATATTATTTATTTACTCGTGACAGTGAGTCACCAGTAGACAAACAGATTATTTACTCTGCTTGCAGTAGGTGAACAGTAAGTGTTGAAAGCTTACAAAGGGACTGGTTTTTAACAGTTGCACATCGTGGTAGTTGTACTTCTGGAGATGGAAGAATATATTAGAATGGTTATCTATAGCTAATAGAAAAGAAAGAAGTACTGAGAACTGGTAGTGATGTGCTGTGTGGTATTCTTTCTGTGCGTGTAACAAGGAAGAGAGTTGGAATCAACTGTTACTCTCGTACGGTTCCATTAATTTCATGACAATTGTGGGAGTAAGTCCCGAGTCGTTGAAAGAACAGTGATTAAGATGTATTTATTTACACTGCGATAGCTGTGCTTGAAAAATAAACGCGTCAGAACCGCTGCGATAATCAAAAAGTTCAAAAGGTAGATTGTGGAAGCGAAGAAGAACTTTAGGTCAGCTGTCTGCCCCTCCGAGCCGGGCGCTGCCTGTGCCGTGGCTTCGAGCCCAGCACGAGGGTGGGTCGTGGAGGGAGAGTGGTGTGTGTGCAGCTATGCACATCTGGGCCGTGACGGAAAGCTCCCCGTCCTTCCCGGGGCCACCCTCCTCCTCTTCCTCATCACCTGGGAGCAGGTGATGGGAGTAAATGAAACACTGGTTGGTTCTCCCGTGTCCTGTCCCGGGGCTGGTAGTTTTTATCAGAATGGACGTACAAAACTGGGAGCAATTAAAACGGGGAAAGCCCCTGTTGGATCAGTCACATCTGATGAGGTTTTGTTCCCCCTTTTTTCTGGTGGGAGGCACTGGGGGGACAGAGCGAAACCCCTTCTCCTGGCTGGGTGCCCAATGCAGGGGCTGGTCAAGGCTGTGAAACAAGCCATGAGTCTGCAGCAATTACAGAATTATATTTTTTTTTCCTCCCCCTCTATACTTATTACACATCTCAAGTTGAAAATTCTCGTACATAACCATGAGCACGTATCATCTGTGTCTGGTCGCTTTTCCCCCAGCACAGATATTCTACTTCTGCCATGTCATAATCTCACTTAAATAAGCGTAACTGAAGCACGGATGTGACAAATGTTAATTTGCACTCTTAATAGTAGTGCGGGTACACAAGGTATTTGTGCGTCCTGCTATCAGTAAGATTTTTTTTCCCAATCCCAGGTTTAGGATCTATTTTGGTGTTGGATTTGAAATAAAATGCTGAAGGTGTTCACCCGCACTGTAATTTAAAAATCCATTATGTGCTGTTGTGATGAAGCGCCCTGGAATACAGAGGAAGCATGAAAAAACCTTTCAGTTTCTTCAAGGCAAATACTTTTAGTGGGTGTTGTGCCCGCGTCTCCCTTGCTCCTCCTCCGCTGCAGGCGGCCCGAGCCTTGGGAGAGGGAGGGGAGAGCTGGGCTCAGACAGGAGCCCGACACCCTGCCAGGATTTGTCAGGTAGAGCCACCACGTCACGCCCTTCTCGCTCCGTCTTGTGGCCGTGTTCGGGGCCCAAAATCTGCTGGGTGGGGTTTTTGCTGAAAAGAAGGGGAGAAGGGCAGAAAACACGCGTTTCCTCTGGCATGTTGTGGGTCCAGCTGGAAACATGGACATTAGCTCTGGTCCTGAACCTCCTGCTCTCTCCTTAAGTCTTCCTTAAGAAAAATGTAGGAAAATAGTCTTACTAACTTGACATTTTTGTTCATTTTGATGCTAATGTCATTGCCTGAGTACATAGAAGTAACATCTGGTGGAAACATTTTTTGCGAAAAGTTTCTCTTGGGCTCTTTAAAATGCCATTGTCGAGCATCAGTGGCCTAAATTCCAGTTGGTGTAAAAATAATGAACGCGAATGTATTTTACATGTGTATTTTATTATTAATTATTATTTGCTGAGCACCATTAATTCAGCAATCCAGAAGTACATTTTCATGATCCTGAGTGAAACTGAGGGTGAAGGGAAACGAGTGACTAATTGGGGTTTGTCGTTGGCAAATGTCTGAAATTAAGACATAGATAAACAATCTAAATGGAAAAAAAATTATGGTACCAGTAAGCAGATATTTAGTATCTGCTGTTGGTTGACGTTAGAGAATTTCCCCTTCAGCTGAGCTCTGTCACCCCTCCCTGCACATCCTGGCAGTTGTGTGTAGAACCTGTGTGGCTCATCGTGGTACCCTGGGTCGCTCTGCTGGGACAAGGTGCTGCCTTCTAAGAATTGCAGCCCCTAAGCTGGGTACTCGCGTTGAACTTCAAGCTGAGATTTTCATAGTTGCATATATTTTTTGGAGGATGAATGGGTTCTGTGTTGCATCTGTGAATAATTCTTAAGATAATTATATATAGTATGGCACGAGCTGATACTGGACATACGTTTGTAAAATAATGTGGAAATGTGTATTATGAGTATTATTTTGAAAGCATTGCTCAAGTGGTTCGTAGAAGGATTAAATTTTCTCCATTTGGAGATCTGAAATACGGGATTATCACCTTTGAAATGACTTTCAGCGTGTTTTTTTTTATTTAAAGCCGAAACAAAAGTTCGAGGTTGGTTAGTAGCGCAAATAATACTTTCTGATTATTTTATTTGCATCTGTAGAATAAAAAACCTAACAATGGAACTCAAAACCAGTCAAGATGAATTAAAAAATGTGAAGGAAGATTTGCAGTATTTCCAAGAGGAAAAGGAAGCTGCCTACAAGCAATCTCAAGTGCTCAGGTAAGAACCCAAAGAGCTACGCTGCTGTGCCTCCCGGGAGCACGTGCAGTCGGTCGGGGGGATTTGGTGGAGACGCGGGCACAGGCACGGAGAATACTGTGAGTGAGAAGAGTGGTTGTAACCATCCTAGTGCTCCTTGCTTTTCCAGAATGCAGTGAGATGCTGTAGTGTTAGCAAATGTAACCGGAAAATATCACTGCTGATTGCTGCTGTTATTAGCAACAGGATTCTTCACAAATTTAAAAACATTAATTAACGCTTAAAAGCAAGTGTACATCACTTGTAATGCGTTGGAAATACAGTGTTTCTGACACATGTTGTTTATAAAGGGTCAACATAAGCTTAGACATTTAGTCCTTTAAACAAAATTACTCTGATTTCTCATTAAAAAGTGATGGTACAATTGCCCGTATAGTTTTCTTCATTTATATATATCTATATGTAAGTTCTAAATCAACATTTAGAAGGGAGAAACGTACAAATATATTGAGTATACAGCATACTCCATACACTAAATTATTGTAACCTATCCAGTATATTATCATATAACTGAGAAGTATTGTCAAGTTTACTTTAGCTCCCCAGTTTACTAATAGTATTTCATAATTTTTAAAATATACATCTGGTGGTGTTTTTCTGTCTTGCAGAAATACATTGGAACACCATTGCTCAACTCTGAACAAAGCTGTCTCGCTGTTTCCTTTCATTAGAAGTGAACTAGACAGTATTAAAGAAGTCATCTCCAGTAACCTGGAGAACTGGGCTGCCATGAAAGAAGAAATTTTTCTACAAATAAAAACCGTTAGCAAAGAAGCTTTGACAGGTAAATCATTTTGCAGTAACTTTGGGCGAGATAAATTTTTTTTTTTTTTTTTTGGCATTGAGTCTAACACAGTAAATTAGAAGCTAAAATGAATGAGATGATTTTAAATTCTGGCATTAACTTGTCCAGATCCTAAGATCCGAAGAGTCTGTCCACTCCGGTGGCACCCTGTGAAGGGGATTGAAGTCGGAGCAGTTCCTGTTGGGTTAGTGTGCCGGACCAAGTGCTGGGTTAGCCAAGCCAGACTGAGGTGGAAGTAATATCAATGCTTAATGTGATCTGAGACACACATAACATACTGTGAGCACAGGGATGTGGTTGCAACCCCAAGACTCGGAGATACTTTAATTTGCCTTGTGTCTCCTATTGCCAGTTTCCCGCGTGTGCCCAGGTGCACCCAGGACATGGCACGGCCGTTGTGTACTGGCCTGTCGAGGAGCTGCTTGGGGGTCCCGTGGTGCTGCCTCCCCATCACCAGGGCGGGCTGCACCTCCTCCCTTGCCCAGCCTACTGGTCTCCACGTCGGGTGCCTTGAATATGTGAGCCAAGGAGCCAGCACCAGGCCCCGAGGGAATGGCCTCAAGCTGCCCAGGGCAGGGTCAGGCTGGCTCTGAGGAAGGATTTCTGTGCAGAAGGGGCTGTTGGGCGTTGGAATGGGCTGCCCAGGGCAGGGGGGAGTCCCCGGGATCCCTGGAGGGGTTGAAGAGTCGGGCTGAGCCAGCGCTGAGGGATCTGGGGGAGTTGAGAACGGTCAGGGTGAGGGTCATGGCTGGGCTGGAGGAGCTGCAAGGGATTTTCCAACCCGGATGATTCTGGGATTCTGTGAGGGGTTGCCTTGAATACATGAGCAAACCTGCACCCAGTGTGTAGCATCTACTCCCTCTTTCCGTTTCAGAGTAAGAACAAGTAATACCCCAATACAGCTGTCTTTATCTGAGGGGTCTTTGGGATTGAAAGGGACATGGAGCAGCCCGTGGGCTGAGAATAATTCACTTGGCCCACAGCCTGCTTCCTGCTCAAACAAGGGCAGCCTTCAGGAAGAGAAGAGAAGCTGGGAGCCGGTCACAACCAACGGCTTGTTCGGGAAGGTCGTGCCCAGCCCTTGGGCTGGCGGTCAGACTGGGAAGCTCACATTGATCCTTGAATACCATTTTTGCTCTGCCTCAGTTGAAAGATTAGTTTTGCTGAAAAATGTGTGCAGTCCTGTAATTAGAGACTGTAACATCCAGAGCATCCAAAGCAGGCCCTGTGCTGACTTTCGCAGCTTTAATGGCCTTTTGGACGTAATTTTCACATACGTACTCCCGTGTTGTTCAGCGTGCTCTGTGTGTATGAGTTGATGACCTGCTATTTGTTCTGGAGGTTAGTCTGATCAGGGTTGTGAGGTTGCAAAGAAGTAGGATGAGCTGACGTCATGCTTTCTGTCCCGTGAGAACGAATATAAAAGTGTGGTGGGCGACGTGCATCTCCCGGATCATTCAGCGGTGAAACCCCGTGAACTCCCGTGCAAATTCAGAGCTTGAGTGAAACCTGCCTGTGTGGAGTATCTCAGGAAATACGTAGCTTCATTTTAAATAACAGCTCCCCAGTAGCCTCTGCTTCCTGTGAAATCAGAAGTAATTTTTAATGTTTTCAATGATTGCTTTGTTCAGCTGGGAGGGCATAAGTGGAGCAGCTGTGCCGCAGGAGTGGGCAGGCTGGGGCTGGCCTGAGCCGGGCAGCGGCGAGCCCGGGACCGAGGGCTCCTGCCCGCTGAACACCAGCGCGACCAGAGAATCGCTCTTTAGCGCTGGGCTTTTGTCAGAACAATTAATTTAAACGTCAGTGTCGATATCGCGCGTTTTGATTTACGACTTCATCTCCTCATTAGGCCGAGCACAGAAAGTATCGCCTGTCCCTAAGGGTTCCTCCCTTCCTGTGCTCATTTTCTGCCCACTTCTAGCTAACGAAGGGAATACGAACGAGCGTTTCTGCAGACATCTTCAAAGACATTCCTAACGTTTTAAGGCCCCTTTTCTGGAGTATTCCTCGTTTTATTTGTTGCAGTACTGCACATACATAGAATGTCTGTATGTGCAGCCTGGCAGGTTCTTTTAATGACTGTACAGCCCATTAGACGTGCTGTGTATCCCCAGCTGCGTTCAGCCTATCCCACTGAGAACAGTGCCACACCGTGAATATTATATACGTCCTTAAATCCAGCTTTCAAAAATCAAAACAATTTAGCTACACGTATATATTTTTTTTTTCTCCTTTGGCCCATGAGTGCCATTTAAAAGCTTTTATGTTCTGTTTTATGAGTTGTTCATTATTAACATATGGCAACATATTAACATTGAGTAAATTATTTTTTTTCTTTATTTTACCTCACTGTTTTTGCAAACAACCTTTTCAGAACTTGTTTTCCATTCAGATTCTGAGAAGAAAAACGTTAAATGAGGTGCTACTCTTTATGCCTAGACCAGTTTGCTTGGTTAGTTTGAAAACAGCTTATAAAAGCCCTTGTTATATGTACATTATTTAGCCACGGTTAATTACTGGCAAGTAAAAAGAAGTCTAGAACTTAATATCTTTTGGTATTTACATCATTTAGCCTAACAATAAATTGATTTAAGTGTGGAGTGCTTGGGAAAGATTGTAGATAATGAAAATAATTGCACCGCAAGAAGGAATGTGAAATTTTCATGTAGGCAGCGTATAAAACATATGTGATAGCTGACTTGACAATAGAATTAAGCTTCACCTAGCTTGAACATTAATGTAAATAAAAGTGATATAAGTTCTTTGGACAACTGAACATTTAGGTTGGAGGAGGCATAGAAAAGAATTGCAGCTACTTTTGGAAATGTTCAAATGCACTCATCAAGGATAACTGAACTTGGGGGGAAATATGAAAATGTAGGAGAGCCGCTATACCCCAGCCATGATTTACTTACCTTGCAGTAAAAACTACCTGGGAAACTTCCTTGGGTCTGCTGCTCTTGCGTGTCGAAGGGCTGATGAAAGACAGTGATAGCCTGTCTTTTATAGAACGAAGATGCACTTTGTGATTACTTAAACAGCAGTGAGCATCCAAGGAGTGAGAAAATAAAATGTAAGACACATACCAAACATCTTCTGAACCCAAAGTTTCAAATTGAGCTTTAGCAGAGGCTAACCCCCTTGATAGCTTCTCAAATTAATTTCAAAATGAGTCTGCAGTTGGGGTTTTGTGTCAGCAATGGTTTGTGTATCTTCGTAAGATAAAAGGCTTAGACTGAACTATCTCCGTCACCTATTGTTATTTCATTTGGAATATATACATCAATTGTAATTTGATTTTGAGATCTTAGAGGAAATATGTATTATTGTTTAGAGTAACATTCGTGTTATTGGTCAATAATACGTGTTTAGCTAAGCACAAATTACCCCTATAAAGAGATAAAACGCTTCTGGCTCTCTACATTCGCAGCAGAAGTGCCGCTGTTGTACGTGGCTTACACCGACCCATACCCAAACTGGGGGTACAGAATGCCGAGGTCCCGAGGTCATAAATCAGATGTAGTACTTTTTAGTGAAGTAGGTAAATTTAACAACAGTCTGTATTAATTTATTTTTTTTTCCTCCTCAGAAATACCCAAATTAAACCAAAGATTAGCAAAATCCCAGAGAGAGAATGAATGCCTCCAAGAAAAGCTAAAACATCTGACCTTGGTGGCCGACACAGTTGAGCTGAAAACTCAACAGCTTCAAACTTCACTTCAGCAAGGGAATGAGCTACAAAGTAGGTGCCGTGAACTACAAAAGGAAACATTAGGTAAGAGAATTTTGGCATTTCAAGCAAACTTCTAAGTAAAATGATATGCAGAAAAATTTTTTTTTTAAAAGCACCGAAGTTGTGTCTGTCAGTGTGGAAGCACTCAATGGCCCAACTTGGGCCCTAATAAAATTTGGATGTTGTGCAGTCAGAAAGAGAGAATGTCAGTCTGAGGAGTCTCTTACCCTGCTGGGAACATGAGTCAGCTGAGTAGGGCGGAAAATGAAAGGAGAGAGGAAAACAATGAGATGGTGGTAATACAATTATGCTGTTATTTGTCAATCTTACGTAAAACATCAGGGAGACCAGGAAGAGTTTTTGGCTATCAGCAACAGAACTGAAAAGTGAGTCAGGGTAAGCCCATCTCTTTACTCATAGATTCATTAAACTTGAGACTGTCTAACGATTTGCTTTTGATAGTGTGTCTCAAGAATCTAGAGAGTCCTCTTGAAAACTGTAAGAGCAGTGATAGCACTTGAAATTAGAATATCTTGTGAGCTCTGTTGAGACAATAACTCATTACAAAAACGTTATTTATATTAGTATCTCTTGAATCTCTTTTCTCTTTAAAGCAGTATTGCATTCATAGTGCTGGCTCAGAGACATTTTAAGACCTTGAAAACATATAGAGGTTGTGCTGTTTTGGGCACAGCTTTGAGTCATCAGAACTGGCACAGCGATTGCCACGCTGCCTTATGCACAGCGTGTAACGTCCAACTGAAAGCGGCAGGTCTCCGTGCTAGTCATGGTGAAGGAATTTCACTGATCCTTCAATACCAGTGATAATATCAAATGTGAAACTGCAAAGTAGAAGGCTGCAGATACCATCCAACGAGCTATCATCAACCCGTGTTGCTGAGAACACTTTATTTTTGTCACGGTGTAACAGTACTGGTAGGAAAGTTCCAGCAGGGATGGGTTTCAACGGTAGAAATGAGCAGATAAGCCTACATCATTTTCCAGACAGTGTCCGTATAAGAAATCGATTTCATATGTTTTCCTTTTTGTGGTATTTATTAAAAATACTAACTGTAAATGAATGCAAAATCAGTTAAGTTTTGCTCTGGCACAGTTCTGTGGATTATTCACAGCATCCACTCCGTCTTTTTTTCTTCTTGGGGGGCTGCTAAACATTCCAGTATCTCAAAAACTTGCCCCTGACATTTTTCAGTAGCTACCTCTTGTTACTTAGTCCTTTGTTCTGAGTAAACTCTGGCAGGCAAGAGTTGGGGAGAGCGTTGCCATAAAAGTGCTAAGCTGGCAGTCATTAGCCACGGTACCTCGTTCTGAAGATGGAAAGAAACGCACCAGTTCTATTTAAATTTCCTTTTTTCGAGACAATTTTGAACAGACTGTTGAGCAGTGTGAAAATTTGAACCTTTTTGTTTGGCTTGTATATCATCATTAGGAGGGATTTTTTAGGAGACATGAGATAAATGCTGGTAGTACATAAATGGTATTTTCTGTGTTTATTTTTCTGGAAAGAAATCAACAATCTCAATATTATATGTACATTACATATATACATAATACGTGTTCGATATGGGAAAGTGTCTGGGTAAAAAAATAATAATTAAAAAATCCCATATAAGCACAAGATAACGTTGCTAGAAAAGATGAAACTGAAGGAATTAGCTTTGCACTGATTAAATCGTGTTGCTTGTCCCAAAAGCATAGGGTTGCCCATGACTCTTCATGTTTTACTTGAAATCTATTTGGAAAAGATGCTAAAAATGCATTCATTGCTTTTGAAAAGGCAAGTGTGTTTCTCCTCCCTCGCGGTTCACGTTTTATCCATACAATCTGTGTACACGAATAACTGCCAGGTTGGGCTGTTTAAAATGCCCCAGTCCCAAATCTGGGAATTATATCCTCTAGAATATTCTGTGCGTTTTGTTTCTTTAACGTTTACTTTGTCTTTACTTATGCTGAAATAACCTTAGAGACTGAGCCGGGAGGCTCTTCCCGTGCTAGAAATCGCTCAAGCGGATAGCATCGCTCAGGAGAACATAGCCAAGGTGACTGGCTCAAAACCAGCCTCAGCGCCGCAGATCCTGCGATAAAACCCACAACAGTGATTTATTGAGGTTGATTAAGGTTTCCCTTCTCTGCCAGTCGAGTAGCACTTATGGAAAGAAAGTTTGTTTGGTCTTTAGCGTGGTCTTGTGCCACGCAAAGGAGCTGTCTGAGTGTTCGTTTGTACAGAAATGTGGATATTCTGCTGCGAGTGCCGATAGTGGCAGTGATTTACACATCCCCGATGGTTGTCACAGATCACTCTGTTCAGAATCCATGCACCGTGTTTCTTACGTGCTTATGTGGTGCGATGCTTTGGGCACACTGTTGTTTTTTTTTTTTAAGCAGCAATGGACATAAAAAGCTCGTTTTGCCCTAATAATTGTCTGTCTTCTGTATGCAATATAACCAGAAAACTTATTTCCACTTTCTTTTTAGGGTTGTCTATCTTTGTATAAATAGACACAAGTAGTGATAAGCCATAAGCAGTTAGATCATTTATTATTTACCTTTCTCTAGAAATCTGAGCTGCTGCAGTTTTCAGAACGGGTCTACCACCTGCCTGCCTTGAGGAAAATATAATTAAATTTGACGTGCACCTTTTTTTAGGTGGAAAAAAAATTAGTCAAAATAAAATAATCTCAGTGCAAAATTAGTTTCTTCTCAAGTATACTTTGACATTTCATTTGTGTTTGAAAAGTTTTCGTTTTTTTTTAATACGAAATAAAAAACTCACGGGTGACACAAGTTCAGTTGTCGGTGCTGGTGTGCAGCTGTTGTTCCTTAGGAACAGTCCCTCGTAGAGTTTCTGGAACTGTAGTTTTCACCTTTTTTTGTAAGGTGCCATGGTCAATATAGCTCAGATAATTTTGCACATTATTGAGTTAAAGTTTTCAGAGGAGGTGGCTGGATGTGGGCATGTAAAGCTGTCTGTGGATTCAGCGGAAGTTCACAGGCATTCTTGGGAGCTGGAATGTTGGCACTCGCGGCTGTTGCAGAAAGTCTAAAGTCCATTTAACTCAGTATCCTGTCCTCACCGCTGGAAAACACGGCGCGGTTCAAAGGAAGGAGCAGGAATTCTAGAAGAGCAATTATGGGATGATCTGTCTTCCTTACATGTCTCGTCTTGATCTAAGAGGGCTTTGAGCCTCGTAAGACAATCCTTTCAGCTTTGAAATATGTGGTTTAGTGTCATTGCATAAGAGATTTGTATTGCTGCATTCACACTGATATGAGAACTATCCTTAGAGTTCCTTTTTCGGTTTTGTAAAGCTCTTTACTTCAGAGGTTCTTGTGAACAGCGACTTCATAGTTTGTTCCCGTGCGTTGTGAAAATACACTTTCTTTTTCAGTTTTGCCCACCTTTAGCTCCACGGAGAATTGCCTTGTTTTTATGTCAGACGACCAGAGAAAGATGCTCACAGTCTGTAACTTTATTTTAATGGTTTTGTTCTGGAGTAGCGTTTACAGAAGGGAACTGGAGCGATGCGCTAAAAGCAGTAACTCGGTTTGGGTAAGATAATTGTGCCGTGTGGTGGCTGGGAAGGGAAAGCTAACGAACGCGTGGCTGGAGTCGGCGTCCTTCAGCTCCTGCAGGCAGGGGAGCACAGCCTCCTCCGGGCTTTGTGCTGTGCAGGGAGAAAATGACTGCAAAATGCTGTGTGGTTAAACCCAGCAGGTACAGGAGGAAAAACAAAAGAGATTTTTCTTTTTCCCTTCTGGCCTGGTTCCAGATGACTCTTAAGATTAACAATGGTTTGTTGCGTTGGGTGTCCTCAGCTGAGCAACAGCTCCCCTGCGCTTCTCAGGCGCTTCGGTTTTAGTCTCTGTTTTTTTTCTGTTGCCGGTGAATCGAGGGAGGGAGCGTACAGAGCGTGCTTTCCATGGCGTTTAGTGTTTCACTGGAACAGGTCAAAGGTGACGGTAGCAGTGAGATGCAAACTGTCCCCTCCCCGTGCTGTCCTGGCATCTCGGTCTCGCACCCACCGCAGCTCGCTTTCACCTCCGTGCCATCCCCAGTTTGTACCAAAAGTTGATGAAAGTCTCCCCTTTACCTGCTTCTGATGAAAATTTTACTCTGTTCCCATAAATCCAGTGGATTTATACCTATATCGGCACTACTGGTGGATTTTATTTCTACGTTTTTGTGTTTTCTGTTCCATATTTAGGGGTTAAGAAACTGTACCTCTGACTGGGTGTTTGGGGCTGTAACTGGTACCCCGTGCTGGAGTTTGTGGGCTCACCTCCTTCACCTTTATTTCTTCTATCCTGCCTCTGGGCACCTCCAGGAGTGACGAGCACTCACTGACTTTTCTTCCAGAGAGTATTAACAGAGTCCTGCATATCATCCCGTAAGCTTGCTGACCTCTGTAGGAAACTGCAAAGTAAAGACATACTGATCAGCAGCCCAGGTGGTGAGCATCGTGTCCTAAGGACATAATGTGAACTTACCATCAGCTGTCCCTGAGCTCTCTCCAAAATTCCTCCTTTCGTCCAGGATCTTCTCCGAGTTAATTTGGGGAGGACGTTTGTGATTCAGCTCTTGCCAGTTATGCTGCTCTTGGAATTCAGTGTTAATAGGAGCAACTGTAGAGTTCTGGTTTCGACAAGAGTAGAAACTTGGGATTTATTGAACTAAATTATAATTTTTCACTTTGTGACATAACTGAAAGTGAAGGCATGACTCTTGAAAGAAGCCTAAAACATTCGAATATTCTGAAAAAGTTTTATCCATCCTTACATCTTTATTAAGTTTTTGATAGGAGACCTAGCCAAGAGCTACCATCTATGTTTTTGTCTTCTTTTTTTTTTTTTTTTTCCCTGTCCACTTCAAAGGAATATTTTGGAAGCTCCTTATTCATGTTTATGAAGAGATTTGAATATTTACAGTGCTCTACAGAGCTGCTCCTTCCCTCAAGGAGCCTGTGAAGCGCACTGCCGCATTACCTCTCCTGCTCACTTGCCCTTTTTGTTTCCAGAGAAAA